AGACAGAGCGACCGCTCCAGCCTTAATTAAAAAACCGCTCCGTGCTCTGACCAAATTTCGCCCGCTCCGCTCCTCGCTCACGCTTCGCTCCACTCCGCTCACATGCTCTGATCCCAACACACCCACTAGACTTTATGATATCAAAGTATGGAAGACTGAATCAGAATGGCTTCTCCAGTATACCTAGCACAAAGAGCCAGGAAAAGAGAACTGAAAGATTTTATGTTTTAGTTTCAAAACAGCAATATACCATCAGTCTCATCTAATTTACAGGGGTACTGGGTGCAGCCTGCATCTGTCTCTGCTGAGAAAGCAAAGAGGAAGGCAAGTGGTTCCTGCAGGCAGGTATGTCTCAGGTCCCATCAAGTACTGCTTCACCAGATATAAAGCCAAAGCAGCACATCTCAGCTGCCAATGAGCATGTTTTGGACTCATTTCGCTACGACACAACAGCCACACTCTCATTATGCAATGAGTGACATAGCACCGCCTAATTTGCCCCAGAATAGATTGTTGCTCCATAGAAAATGTGCAGCAGATAGCATCATGCTGTGAGAGCTGGGATCTGTGCGTGGCTAATTATCACTTAAAACCCATCCAAAATTCCGAAGGCACAGCAACTAATTTGTTAATGAAAATATTGTCCCAAGTTTTTCTAGTACATACAGCCAAGCTAAACCTTGCAGTGATCAAATTTCATATTAAGTCAGGGCTAAGCAGGAAGTGGATATTAACTGGACCAATATTCACAAACTAATAAAAGTTTTTTTTTTTTTTGGTGTATATGAACTTGTATATATCTCATTTGGGAACAATAACTATTTCATATCACATTTTAATTGTGCTTTTCTTTTGTGACTCATAGTAATTGAGAATAATATCATTTCAAACTGTTGTGAAATCAAGTATATAATTAAACATATTGATTACAGTTGTCATAAAAATTGGGTTTAATTCAAAATATGTAAAGTATTAAAATATATGGTCATTATATAAGTCTTCAGTATCAGATTCATCTCTTTGTTCCCACAATAATTTATTAGACTGAAACTGCTCCAGGACGTACTCTTCACAGAACATAAGGTAGGAATTTTAGTCCAACAGATTCCCCACAAATGTTAGATTACATATCACCAACAAGCAATCACCATCATGAAAAGAATTGTTCAATTAGCTATTCGCATTTTAAATGAGTACATTAGATTGATTTAGTAAGAGGGATATTGAGCATAACAACAACCTGTGTCAAGGGGAATTTCACTTCAGTTTTTTTTCCCCTGTAAGGACAATATGTTATTTTGCACAATATGTTATTTGGCTAAACAAACAGTCTGATTATACCGAGAATAGCTTCCGTTATATACATAATATATGACTCCACCACAATGACATAAGATATCATTTCAA